TCGGCGGGCGGCTGAGTCGGTCGGCGGGCGGCTGAGTCGGTGGGCGGGCGGGTGAGTTGAGTCGGTCGGTGGGCGGCTGAGTCGGTCGGTGAGCGGCTGAGTCGGTGGGCGGGTGAGTCGGTCGGTGGGCGGCTGAGTCGGTCGGTGGGCGGCTGAGTCGGTCGGTGGGCGGCTGAGTCGGTCGGTGGGCGGCTGAGTCGGTCGGTGGGCGGCTGAGTCGGTCGGTGGGCGGCTGAGTCGGTGAGCGGGTGAGTCGGTCGGTGGGCGGGTGAGTCGGTCGGTGGGCGGGTGAGTCGGTCGGTGGGCGGGTGAGTCGGTCGGTGGGCGGGTGAGTCGGTCGGTGGGCGGGTGAGTCGGTCGGTGGGCGGGTGAGTCGGTCGGTGGGCGGGTGAGTCGGTCGGTGGGTCGGTGGGCGAGTGAGTCGGTCGGTTGGCGGGTGAGTCGGTGGGCGGGTGACTCGGTGGGCGAGCGAGTCGGTGAGCGGGCGAGTCGGTCGTTGAGCGGGTGAGTCGGTGGGCGAGTGACTCGGTGGGCGAGTGAGTCGGTGGGCGAGTGAGTCGGTGAGCGAGTCGGTGGGCGAGTCGGTGAGCGAGTCGGTGGGCGAGTCGGTGGGCGAGTGAGTCGGTGAGCGAGTCGGTGGGCGAGTGAGTCGGTGGGCGAGTGAGTCGGTGGGCGAGTCGGTGGGCGAGTGACTCGGTGGGCGAGTGAGTCGGTCGTTGAGCGGGTGAGTCGGTGGGCGAGTGAGTCGGTGAGCGGGTGAGTCGGTGGGCGAGTGACTCGGTGGGCGAGTGAGTCGTTGAGCGGGTGAGTCGGTGAGCGGGTGAGTCGGTCGTTGGGCGGGTGAGTCGGTGAGCAGGTGGGTGAGTCGGTCGGTGGGCGGGTGAGTCGGTCGGTGGGCGGGTGAGTCGGTCGGTGGGCGGGTGAGTCGGTCGATGGGCGGGTGAGTCGGTGGGCGAGTGACTCGGTGGGCGAGTGAGTCGGTGAGCGGGTGAGTCGGTCGTTGAGCGGGTGAGTCGGTCATTGAGCGGGTGAGTCGGTCGTAGAGCGGGTGAGTCGGTCGTTGAACGGGTGAGTCGGTGGGCGAGTGAGTCGGTGGGCGGGTGGGCGAGTGAGTCGGTGGGCGAGTGAGTCGGTGAGCGAATGAGTCGGTGAGCGAGTGAGTCGGTGAGCGAGTGAGTCGGTGGGCGAGCCGGTGGGCGAGTGAGTCGGTGAGCGAGTGAGTCGGTGGGTGAGTCGGTGAGCGAGTGAGTCGGTGGGTGAGTCGGTGAGCGAGTGAGTCGGTGAGCGAGTGAGTCGGTGAGCGAGTGAGTCGGTGGGCGAGTGAGTCGGTGGGCGAGTGAGTCGGTGAGCGAGTGAGTCGGTGAGCGAGTGAGTCGGTGAGCGAGTGAGTCGGTGGGCGAGTGAGTCGGTGGGCGAGTGAGTCGGTGGGCGAGTGAGTCGGTGAGCGAGTGAGTCGGTCGTTGAGCGGGTGAGTCGGTGGGCGAGTGAGTCGGTGAGCGGGTGAGTCGGTGGGCGAGTGACTCGGTGGGCGAGTGAGTCGTTGAGCGGGTGAGTCGGTGGGCGGGTGAGTCGGTCGGTGGGCGGCTGAGTCGGTCGGTGAGCGGCTGAGTCGGTGGGCGGCTGAGTCGGTCGGTGGGCGGCTGAGTCGGTCGGTGAGCGGCTGAGTCGGTGGGCGGCTGAGTCGGTCGGTGGGCGGCTGAGTCGGTCGGTGGGCGGCTGAGTCGGTCGGTGGGCGGGTGAGTCGGTCGGTGGGCGGGTGAGTCGGTCGGTGGGCGGGTGAGTCGGTCGGTGGGCGGGTGAGTCGGTCGGTGGGCGGGTGAGTCGGTCGGTGGGCGGGTGAGTCGGTCGGTGGGCGGGTGAGTCGGTCGGTGGGCGGGTGAGTCGGTCGGTGGGTCGGTGGGCGGGTGAGTCGGTCGGTTGGCGGGTGAGTCGGTGGGCGGGTGACTCGGTGGGCGAGCGAGTCGGTGAGCGGGTGAGTCGGTCGTTGAGCGGGTGAGTCGGTGGGCGAGTGACTCGGTGGGCGAGTGAGTCGGTGGGCGAGTGAGTCGGTGAGCGAGTCGGTGGGCGAGTCGGTGAGCGAGTCGGTGGGCGAGTCGGTGGGCGAGTGAGTCGGTGAGCGAGTCGGTGGGCGAGTGAGTCGGTGGGCGAGTGAGTCGGTGGGCGAGTCGGTGGGCGAGTGACTCGGTGGGCGAGTGAGTCGGTCGTTGAGCGGGTGAGTCGGTGGGCGAGTGAGTCGGTGAGCGGGTGAGTCGGTGGGCGAGTGACTCGGTGGGCGAGTGAGTCGTTGAGCGGGTGAGTCGGTGAGCGGGTGAGTCGGTCGTTGGGCGGGTGAGTCGGTGAGCAGGTGGGTGAGTCGGTCGGTGGGCGGGTGAGTCGGTCGGTGGGCGGGTGAGTCGGTCGGTGGGCGGGTGAGTCGGTCGGTGGGCGGGTGAGTCGGTCGATGGGCGAGTGACTCGGTGGGCGAGTGAGTCGGTGAGCGGGTGAGTCGGTCGTTGAGCGGGTGAGTCGGTCATTGAGCGGGTGAGTCGGTCGTTGAGCGGGTGAGTCGGTCGTTGAACGGGTGAGTCGGTGGGCGAGTGAGTCGGTGGGCGAGTGAGTCGGTGGGCGAGTGAGTCGGTGGGCGAGTGAGTCGGTGGGCGAGTGAGTGGGTGGGCGAGTGAGTCGGTGAGCGAGTCGGTGGGCGAATGAGTCGGTGGGCGAGTGAGTCGGTGAGCGAATGAGTCGGTGAGCGAGTGAGTCGGTGAGCGGGTGAGTCGGTCGTTGAGCGGGTGAGTCGGTCGTTGAGCGGGTGAGTCGGTCATTGAGCGGGTGAGTCGGTCGTTGAGCGGGTGAGTCGGTCGTTGAACGGGTGAGTCGGTGGGCGAGTGAGTCGGTGGGCGAGTGAGTCGGTGGGCGAGTGAGTCGGTGGGCGAGTGAGTGGGTGGGCGAGTGAGTCGGTGAGCGAGTCGGTGGGCGAATGAGTCGGTGGGCGAGTGAGTCGGTGAGCGAATGAGTCGGTGAGCGAGTGAGTCGGTGAGCGAGTGAGTCGGTGAGCGAGTGAGTCGGTGAGCGAGTGAGTCGGTGGGCGAGTCGGTGGGCGAGTGAGTCGGTGAGCGAGTGAGTCGGTGGGTGAGTCGGTGAGCGAGTGAGTCGGTGAGCGAGTGAGTCGGTGAGCGAGTGAGTCGGTGAGCGAGTGAGTCGGTGAGCGAGTGAGTCGGTGAGCGAGTGAGTCGGTGGGCGAGTGAGTCGGTGGGCGAGTCGGTGGGCGAGTGAGTCGGTGGGCGAGTCGGTGAGCGAGTGAGTCGGTGAGCGAGTGAGTCGGTGGGCGAGTGAGTCGGTGGGCGAGTGAGTCGGTGGGCGAGTGAGTCGGTGGGCGAGTGAGTGGGTGGGCGAGTGAGTCGGTGAGCGAGTCGGTGGGCGAATGAGTCGGTGGGCGAGTGAGTCGGTGAGCGAATGAGTCGGTGAGCGAGTGAGTCGGTGAGCGAGTGAGTCGGTGAGCGAGCGAGTCGGTGGGTGAGTCGGTGAGCGAGTCGGTGGGCGAGTGAGTCGGTGAGCGAGTGAGTCGGTGGGTGAGTGAATCGTTGTGTGTCTTCATTCAGTGTTTTGATGTCAGTCTGTTGGTCATCAGGTCTGTTGATTTCCTGTTGGACTCCAGCCTGCGGAAACTCTACGGTGAAGGAGAAAAACCTGAATGAGCCTCGTCACGGTGCTGACCTCTGAACTCTGACCCCCGACCCCCAAGACTGGTGCTGGTCTGTGATCAACAGCAGAAAAGTGTATCATGATAACTATAAACTGTGACCTTCAAATTCAAACTCTCAAAGACCTTAATTTGCATGTGTCTTACTTTACAGTAATTTTTTGTTTTATTGCATTGATTGAATTACAGCTTTTTAAAGTCATTATGTTTGTGGTGAACGGTGGAAGAATCTAGTACTGTATGTTTCCAAACTGTACAAATGATAAACTAGTGAAGCAGAGTTTCTGATTTCTGTAATATAAAATACATGTATTTTACTTTATAATAGCTGATGATCTGTCATGAGGTGCCGTTTCTCATCAAGCCATGAAACACTATGCAAGTTCAGTTCTGATGGTTCTGCAGGAACACAAAATATGGCATTACATAATAAACACATATTTTCAAGTACAAGTCTGTTTATTTCTCAGTCTGAGTCCTGCCCAATTCACAGTGTTTCTTCACAAGACTCAGTGTTCAGCGGATTTGAGTTTTTCACCCGGATGTTGGTGTTTAAGGGTCCGAGGAAGTTTACTGTGTTTAAAGTGAATCTCGTGGTAAAACATCACATTGTTCTATTGATGTGTTTTCATATCTCAACACAAGACAGACTTATGAATCTATAGGTGAGTGACTTGATTAGTTAGCGCTCAGCTGACTGTGAGTGACACTATTAGGCCCTGTCCACACGGACACGGGTATTTTTATAACAGTGACTTTTTTTACGCGGTTCGGCCGTTCGTCCACATGGAAACGCACTGAAACCGAACATTTTTGAAAACCCCTGCCAGGGTGAGGATTTTCAGAAACGCCGGTTACAGTGTTGTCGTGTGAAACCGGGGTTTTTGCCTTGCGACGTCAGAGTGTGCGCCGTTATCCGCTGTGTTTGACGTCAGATTTGCGCTTCTGATTGGCCAACGTAGCTTTACGGTTAAGGTTTATATCGCCGCATGCTCTTGACCGCGCTTGATAGCGTGTTTTCGTGTAGCCGGAGACCGAGCATGTGTGGACGGGATTTTTTTTTAAACGCTGTAGGAAAAACTCCGGTTATAAAAATACCCGTGTCCGTGTGGACAAGGCCTAAGTTAGCGCTCAGCTGACAGCAGTTGACTCGATTTGCTAACGCTCATCTGATCGTGAGTGACTCGATTAGCTAAAGCTCAGCAGACAGCGGATGACTTGATTAGTTAGCGCTCAGCTGACAGCGGATGACTTGATTAGTTAGCACTCAGCTGACAGCGGTTGATTCGATTAGTTAGCGCTCAGCTGACAGCGGATGACTTGATTAGTTAGCGCTCAGCTGACAGCGGTTGATTCGATTAGTTAGCGCTCAGCTGACAGCGGTTGACTTGATTAGCGTCAGTTCCAATAAAGGACGAGAGGTGCTGGTGTTTCTGTTTGGCTGAAGATGATTTCAGGATTGCTGTTGTTGGTGTTGGTGGGCTCTGCAATGGCACAGAGGGGTGCGTTCTCATCTCATTCCTCCTTCATGTTGCTGGCGTATCTGTTAACTGGAGTGGTGTGTGTTCAGATTTGTCTGTAGACTGTGGCAGTGATGGTTGGGTCACGGTGCACTGGAGGCCCGGACTGGGATTCTCCCAGACGCTGGATCAGTCCAAGGCTCTCCTGGGAACCTGTCCGCCGAGCTCGCTGATGTCCGAGGACACGCTGCTCTTCCGTGTGCTGGTCCGTGACTGTGGCTTCATCCAGCAGGTACGGCGCTGATCCAGAGCAAACACAGATCAGTCTCCCGCCTGATTCTCTTCTGCTGTGTTGAAGGTGATGGAGGGCCGAGTCACGTACTCCAACATGCTGATCTATGCGCGACGCCCTGAACTCCCCATTATTACCCAGTTGGTGAAGTGCGACTATGACTCGTAGGTGATCCGGAGCCAGTGGTGAGTGTGGGGTGAATGTGAGCTTTGGTGTAAGTCTTTGGCTTGTTTCGCTCAGGCCTGTAGGCGAGGAGAGCGAGTTCAGCGCCGAGGAACCGGACGAGAACCGAGAACAGGAGACCTTCAACATGGAGATCATGAACCGTCAGTCAAACTCAAATGTCACTGTATAAAAAGTAAAATGGGCTACAAATGCGTTTTCATGTGGTTCTTACATTAACAACCATACATGTAAGCTGAATATAGCGCTTTAAGATTAAAAATCAGCTGTCAGATGGAGATGGGTAAGCACACACACGAGACTGGCATGATGATGAGGAAGATCTGGTGATGATTCTGATGATGATTCTGCATGACTCTGATCAGACTCTGGGTGATTCTGCAGCTGATTTCAGTGGTCCTGCCCCGTCTCTGAGGTTCGGACTGGGTTCCAGTATTCCCATCAGAGCCACGGTGGAGCCGAGGAGCCACAGATCGCTGAGGATCTACATGAAGAGCTGTGAGTTCGCCACAGACGCCGACATACGCCGCGCCACACAGGTGCATCCCATCATCGCCAACGCTGGGTAAGAGGCCACTGGATGGTTGTTTGCCATTGGCTGATCTCATGTGAGTGACAGGTTGCTCCGCCCTCGTCATCAGAGACGAGCAATCGCAGTCATATCACTGTCTCGGTTAACTATAGACCCGATATAGTCTGAGTAACACACTTCTTAGCCAAAATAACTTGTGAGATGTCTGATATTCCATCATGTAAGCGAAGTAAACACTGATTACAAGGAGTTTGGTTTCATTTCTTCACTCATTTCATTTCTGTATCTAACTGATGACTAGTGTATTCTTGGGCTGGTTTAGACATCTGTTAAATGTTCACTGACAGCCCAAACTTTGCCTGGTTTCACTAGCCTAGACCTCAGGCTGTGTTTGGACGGCTATTAGACGTCTTTTAAACGCACAATTGCTTGCTGGGGAGATAATGCAAGAGGAATTCTGATTCAAGATCATTCAAACTAATGACGTGCACCCATAAATCATTTAGAATAAACACTGCAATATTCCAATTTCCATTTTGATTTCATGGACTTTAAAGAAATAGCAGGGAAAAAGTCCATTTAACGGGCATGGATTTAACACGATGTGCAGCGATGGAAATGGTTGTGCTCTGCTTGTTTAATGGCTCTCACAGGTGTCTGATGGAGAGTAAATCGGGAAACTCCAGCTTTCTGCCGCGCCGGCACTCGGATGAAATGCGTCTGTATCTCGAAGCCTTCCGGTTTGCTCTGGGACAGAAGGTGAGCGCGGCGGCTGCAGCCTGAGCTCGTCTTGCTTGATGTCGTTCTCAGTGTCTCTGTTTCTGTGGGCAGATTTTCCTGCACTGTGATCTGGAAGCTTGTGTCGTCCGGAGCTTGAACGTGGACCGGAAGGCCTGTCACTACGTGCCGGAGAAGCGCAGGTCCTTCACACACACTTCGGCTTAAAGCGATAGTTCAACCAAAAATGAAAATTGGCCCATGATTTACTCACGCTCAAGTCATCCTAGGTGTATATGACTTTCTTCTTTCAGACAAATACAATCAGAGTTATATTTAAAATAAAATAAAAATCCTGGTTCTTCCAAGCTTTATAATGGCAGTGAATGGCCGTTTCTGTTTTGAAGTCCATAAAAGTGGCATGCACTTTTATGATGGACAGATGCACTTTTATGATGAACAGATGCACTTTTATGATGGACAGATGCACTTTTATGATGGACAGATGCACTTTTATGATGAACAGATGCACTTTTATGATGGACAGATGCACTTTTATGATGGATAGATGCACTTTTATGATGAACAGATGCACTTTTATGATGGACAGATGCACTTTTATGATGGACAGATGCACTTATGATGGACAGATGCACTTTTATGATGGACAGATGCACTTTTATGATGGACAGATGCACTTTTATGATGGACAGATGCACTTGTATGATGGAAAGATGCACTTTTATGATGGATAGATGCACTTTTATGATGGACAGATGCACTTTTATGATGGACAGATGCACTTTTATGATGGACAGATGCACTTTTATGATGGATAGATGCACTTTTATGATGGACAGATGCACTTTTATGATGGACAGATGCACTTTTATGATGGACAGATGCACTTTTATGATGGACAGATGCACTTTTATGATGGATAGATGCACTTTTATGATAGACAGATGCACTTTTATGATGGATAGATGCACTTTTATGATGGACAGATGCACTTTTATGGTGGATAGATGCACTTTTATGATGGACAGATGCACTTTTATGATGGACGAATGCACTTATGATGGACAGATGCACTTTTATGATGGACAGATGCACTTTTATGATGGATAGATGCACTTTTATGATGGACAGATGCACTTTTATGATGGACAGATGCACTTTTATGATGGACAGAAGCACTTTTATGATGGACAGAAGCACTTTTATGATGGACAGATGCACTTTTATGATGGACAGATGCACTTTTATGATGGATAGATGCACTTTTATGATGGACAGATGCACTTTTATGATGGATAGATGCACTTCTATGATGGATAGATGCTCTTTTATGATGGATAGATGCACTTTTATGATGGATAGATGCACTTTTATGATGGACAGATGCACTTTTATGATGGACAGATGCACTTTTATGATGGACAGATGCACTTTTATGATGGACAGATGCACTTGTATGATGGAAAGATGCACTTGTATGATGGATAGATGCACTTTTATGATGGATAGATGCACTTTTATGATGGATAGATGAACTTTTATGATGGATAGAGGCACTTTTATGATGGACAGATGCACTTTTATGATGGACACAGGCACTTTTATGATGGACACAGGCACTTTTACGATGGACACAGGCACTTTTATGATGGACAGATGCACTTTACTGATGGACAGATGCACTTTTATGATGGATAGATGCACTTTTATGATGGACAGATGCACTTTTATGATGGATAGATGCACTTTTATGATGGACAGATGCACTTTTATGATGGATAGATGCACTTTTATGATGGACAGAAGCACTTTTATGATGAACAGATGCACTTTTATGATGGACAGATGCACTTTTATGATGGATAGATGCACTTTTATGATGGATAGATGCACTTTTATGATGGACAGATGCACTTTTATGATGGATAGATGCACTTTTATGATGGATAGATGCACTTTTATGATGGATAGATGCACTTGTATGATGGATAGATGCACTTGTATGATGGAAAGATGCACTTTTATGATGGACAGATGCACTTTTATGATGGACAGATGCACTTTTATGATGGATAGATGCACTTGTATGATGGATAGATGCACTTGTATGATGGAAAGATGCACTTGTATGATGGATAGATGCACTTTTATGATGGATAGATGCACTTTTATGATGGATAGATGCACTTTTATGATGGACAGAGGCACTTTTATGATGGACAGAGGCACTTTTATGATGGACAGATGCACTTTTATGATGGACAGATGCACTTTTATGATGGACAGATGCACTTTTATGATGGACAGATGCACTTTACTGATGGACAGATGCACTTTTATGATGGATAGATGCACTTTTATGATGGACAGATGCACTTTTATGATGGATAGATGCACTTTTATGATGGACAGATGCACTTTTATGATGGACAGATGCACTTTTATGATGGACAGAAGCACTTTTATGATGGACAGAAGCACTTTTATGATGAACAGATGCACTTTTATGATGGACAGATGCACTTTTATGATGGATAGATGCACTTTTATGATGGATAGATGCACTTTTATGATGGATAGATGCACTTTTATGATGGACAGATGCACTTTTATGATGGACACAGGCACTTTTATGATGGACAGATGCACTTTTATGATGGATAGATGCACTTTTATGATGGACAGATGCACTTTTATGATGGACAGATGCACTTTTATGATGGATAGATGCACTTTTATGATGGATAGATGCACTTTTATGATGGATAGATGCACTTTTATGATGGATAGATGCACTTTTATGATGGACAGATGCACTTTTATGATGGACAGATGCACTTTTATGATGGACAGATGCACTTTTATGATGGACAGATGCACTTTTATGATGGACAGATGCACTTTTATGATGGACACAGGCACTTTTATGATGGACACAGGCACTTTTATGATGGACACAGGCACTTTTATGATGGACACAGGCACTTTTATGATGGACACAGGCACTTTTATGATGGATAGATGCACTTTTATGATGGATAGATGCACTTTTATGATGGACAGATGCATGGATAGATGCACTTTTATGATGGACACAGGCACTTTTATGATGGACACAGGCACTTTTATGATGGACAGATGCACTTTTATGATGGATAGATGCACTTTTATGATGGACAGATGCACTTTTATGATGGATAGATGCACTTTTATGGACTTCAAAACAGAAACCGCCATTCACTGCCATTATAAAGCTTGGAAGAACCAGGACAATTTTTTAATAACTCAGATTGTATTCGTCTGAAAGAAGAAAGTCATACACATCTAGGACGACTTGAGGGTGAGTATATCATGGGCTAATTTTCATTTTTGGGTGAACTATCGCTTTAAAACTAATCATGTGGAGCTGTTGAATGTCTGGATCTCCTGTAGACCAGAGGAGGCTGTAAATGTGCCGATGGCGTTGTGTTTTAGATGGACGCTCCTGGATGAGCCGTCCCAGAGCTACGCCTGTGCCTGCTGCGACTCCACCTGCCCGAGGACTGGCCTCATGATCGACGGTACGCGGTCCTGCCGGCACCAGCCTCTCTTCTGGACCCGGACCTGAGCATTAACAACCTCACTTTCTCCACAGGCGTGTCGGTACATAAAGTTCTGGGGCCGCTTGTGATCGTGGAGAATGAGCCTGAGAGCAGCGGGTCACCGGACTCACGGGCGAGCTCTGCACACGGTCAGTGATGCTCAGCGATGTCCATGTTAGGCCTGGGCATTTACTCGCATATCATGATTCACAAGTTTGCCATTCCAATTCCGGCAATTCCTCTATTCCATTTCGGGTCTCTATTCCATTTCGGGTCTCTATTCCATTTCGGGTTCTCTTCAATTCCGGATCTCTATTCCAATTCCGGATCTCTATTTAATTCCGGATCTCTATTCCAATTCCGGATCTCTATTCATTTCCGGATCTCTATTCAATTTCGGATCTCCATTTTGGATCTCTATTTCGGATCTCTATTTAATTCCGGATCTCTATTCCAATTCCGGATCTCTATTAAATTCCGGATCTCTATTCCAATTCCGGATCTCTATTCAATTTCGGATCTCCATTTTGGATCTCTATTTAATTCCGGATCTCTATTCCAATTCCGGATCTCTATTAAATTCCGGATCTCTATTCCATTTCCAGATCTCTATTCCATTTCCAGATCTCTATTCCATTTCGGGTCTCTATTCCAATTCCGGGTCTCTATTCCAATTCCGGATCTCTATTCCAATTCCGGATCTCTATTCAATTTCGGATCTCCATTTTGGATCTCTTTTTCGGATCTCTATTTAATTTCGGATCTCTATTCAGACATTCTTAACCCAGCCCTAGTCATGACCTTGAGTTTGTGATGCTGCTGCTGATGATGCTGCTGCTGATGATGATGCTGATGATGATGATGATGCTGATGATGCACAGGTATGAGCGCGTCTCGTGTCTGGCTGCTGGTGTTTGTGGTCGCGCTGGCGCTGGTGACCGTCATGGGTGTTTTGGTCATCAGTTATTACCTGTGCTTCTGGAGAGGAGGACGTCTGGGCTACAGGCCGAGCAGAGATCTACTCACCAAATACTGATGCTCAATAAAGAGTCTGTGGCTTTTCTCCTGGTCTTGTCGTGTTTGTCCACCAGGCGGCGCTTTAGTGCTGTCGTTTATCAGCTTCTGTCCGCTCCACTCCTGCAGCAGGGAGGCCTAGGCCTACAGAAGCCCGGAATGATGCGGAGGCCAATCAAATGGTAAAATGGATCTAGTTTACGAGCAATGTTGCAAAAGCTTTAAAAGCAGGACGTTTACAATTCAAATATAATGTTTTGTGAACCAAACATTGTAGGACTTAAGAGATCTTGTACTCCTAAAATAGTGGTTCTCAACATTTTACTCCCTGTTCACAATACGCAATATTTTTCTAAACTTTTAAAGGCGCTCATGGTTTCTTTAACAAAAAATGACGTTTCGGGAAATTCGACTTTTAGGATCTTCAGGTTCCACTGTTATTAACTAATGGATTTACATTTCTTCATGGTTTTCTGGATGAGGATTTTAATTTTCTACCAGATAGTGTTTTAGACCGTAACTACTAAAATGTGTATTCATTCTAAAAATACCCATTGTGTTTAAATATTTTGCTGATTTACATTACATTATTTTTCCAGGTTTAGAAATCATTTTAAAATGAGCCTTCATGTTTTCCAAGACAGTTAATGTTACTCAAAGGAAGAATTAAAATACAAAAATATCTTGAGTTTGAGCTTATTTGGTTTGAGCTTATTTTAAAGATTAAATCTAATTTCAAATGATTAAGTTGTTTTGGTAGTTTAAAGTTAAAAGTTTGAAGTTTGCTGAGGGTTTTCAGAAGCAGGTTTTCACAGAAATGCCACAGAAGATCTGGTGTTGGTTCCCCAAAGACCCTTTAAAACCATATTTCTCAGGACATTTTATAAAGGTATATGAAAAGCTTCTATGGGTGTTAAAGTTTCTTCCCGGAAACATTGACGCCAATAAAGCTCTTATTTTTAGAAGTGTGATGCGCCCCGGACCCCTGCCTGAGAACCGCTGCTTAATGTGGATTATTAGGCATTAAGTTATCTAAGCATTAACATTATGAGTTTATGAAAAGCTGCTTTGAAATGATGTGTGTTATGAGAAACTGCTGTAGAAAGGAAGTGTTCTGGATCAGATCTGAGAGTTCGGTGGCGTCCGGCTCTGAAACACACACACACAAACACACACACACCTGCAATAATACCCGTCTCCTCTCGTGCCCTCAGGCTGAAACTCACGCTCATTACAATTATTAGAAATCTGCTGTAAAAGCATAGAGCGGCTGTTAGAGCAATCCTTTAATTTGCCCTTGTTCACATCCACACTCATTAAGACGCCCGTGAGCGACATCGGCTCACATTAGGAGTCCCGAGACACAAACGGCTGATGAATTGATTTAACGGATTGGTTTCTTCAATGGACACATTCCTCTGTCTCTTACACAGGCCTTTCACTGAAGATCTCAGGAGTCGCTGCCGTCTCTACAGCCCTGGAACACAGCATGAGAAATACTGACTGATTCCTATGTGAATATTCAAAGGATAAAAAATTTTTACTCTTCGTGTCAACAAATAAATATCTGAAAAGCAAACAGCAAGACTAAATTTGAGAGTTAACTGCTGCACTTTGAGAAAGACTCAAACTAGGTTTAATTGCTAAAGTTTAGAAAAGTAAAAATGATCTTGGCTGATATAAATGGCATAGTAGATCATCAGTGGAGTCAATGTTCCCTGCACTGTCTCTAATAGGGTTTACGCTTGTATGTTTAAATAGTGTCAGTCATGCACTAGCAGTCTGGGCTGTGTTTCCCATACAATGACATAACAAATTCATTATTATTATTATTTTAACTTGCTGCTTAATCACCATGTAGAATGAAGTATGAAGAATATTAAATGTCCTCATCTAAGCAAGCCAGAGGCGACAGTGAAGGAACCCAAACTCCACCAGTGACAGAATGGAGAAAAAACCTTGAGAGAACCCGTCGCTCAGTTCACCTCTGGCCAACAGGCGAACAGTGTATGATTATGATTCAGGAGCATTACAGGTCAGAGGTCAGATTGGATCAGAACATTCAGAATATTTATCCAGTTCCATCTGGTTGAAGATCGGAGTCATCACACCATCTCATCTGGATACTATATCATGTGTTGTGGTCGTGTCTAGGCGCAGGTCCTCCATCTGATCTGGATACGGCCCGGATCCGGCTGACTTCATCATGTGTTGTGGTCGTGTCTAGGCGCAGGTCCACCATCTGATCTGGATACGGCCCGGATCCGGCTGACTACATCATGCATTGTGGTCGTGTCTAGGCGCAGGTCCTCCATCTGATCGGCGCAGGTCCACCATCTGATCTGGATACGGCCCGGATCCGGCTGACTACATCATGCGTTGTGGTCGTGTCTAGGCGCAGGTCCTCCATCTGATCTGGATACGGCCCGGATCCGGCTGACTACATCATGCGTTGTGGTCGTGTCTAGGCGCAGGTCCTCCATCTGATCTGGATACGGCCCGGATCCGGCTGACTACATCATGCATTGTGGTCGTGTCTAGGCGCAGGTCCTCCATCTGATCTGGATACGGCCCGGATCCGGCTGACTACATCATGCGTTGTGGTCGTGTCTAGGCGCAGGTCCTCCATCTGATGTGGATACGGCCCGGATCCGGCTGACTACATCATGCATTGTGGTCGTGTCTAGGCGCAGGTCCTCCATCTGATCTGGATACGGCCCGGATCCGGCTGACTACATCATGCGTTGTGGTCGTGTCTAGGCGCAGGTCCTCCATCTGATGTGGATACGGCCCGTATCCGGTTGACTACATTATGCGTTGTGGTCGTGTCTAGGCGCAGGTCCACCATCTGATCTGGATACGGCCCGGATCCGGCTGACTACATCATGCGTTGTGGTCGTGTCTAGGCGCAGGTCCTCCATCTGATCTGGATACGGCCCGGATCCGGCTGACTACATCATGCGTTGTGGTCGTGTCTAGGCGCAGGTCCTCCATCTGATGTGGATACGGCCCGGATCCGGCTGACTACATCATGCGTTGTGGTCGTGTCTAGGCGCAGGTCCTCCATCTGATCTGGATACGGCCCGGATCCGGCTGACTACATCATGCGTTGTGGTCGTGTCTAGGCGCAGGTCCTCCATCTGATCTGGATACGGCCCGTATCCGGTTGACTACATTATGCGTTGTGGTCGTGTCTAGGCGCAGGTCCACCATCTGATCTGGATACGGCCCGGATCCGGCTGACTACATCATGCGTTGTGGTCGTGTCTAGGCGCAGGTCCTCCATCTGTTCTGGATACGGCCCGGATACGGCCCGTATCCGGCTGACCATCATGCGTTGTGGTCGTGTCTAGGTGCAGGTCCTCCATCTGATCTGGATACGGCCCGGATCCGGCTGACGACATCATGTGTTGTGGTCGTGTCTAGGCGCAGGTCCTCCATCTGATCTGGATACGGCCCGTATCCGGCTGACTGCATTATGCGTTGTGGTCGTGTCTAGGCGCAGGTCCTCCATCTGATCTGGATAGGGCCCGGATCCGGCTGACTACATCATGCGATGTATGTGGTCTTGTCTAGGCGCAGGTCCTCCATCTGATCTGGATTCGGCCCGGATCCGGCTGACTACATCATGCGATGTGGTCGTGTCTAGGCGCAGGTCCTCCATCTGATCTGGATTCGGCCCGGATCCGGCTGACTACATCATGCGATGTGGTTGTGACTAGGCGCAGGTCCTCCATCTGATCTGGATTCGGCCCGGATCCGGCTGACTACATCATGCGATGTGGTCGTGTCTAGGCGCAGGTCCACCATCTGATCTGGATACGGCCCGGATCCGGCTGACTACATCATGCGATGTATGTGGTCTTGTCTAGGCGCAGGTCCTCCATCTGATCTGGATTCGGCCCGGATCCGGCTGACTACATCATGCGATGTGGTCGTGTCTAGGCGCAGGTCCTCCATCTGATCTGGATTCGGCCCGGATCCGGCTGACTATATCATGCATTGTGGTCGTGTCTAGGCGCAGGTCCTCCATCTGATCTGGATACGGCCCGGATCCGGCTGACTACATCATGCATTGTGGTCGTGTCTAGGCGCAGGTCCTCCATCTGACTGGATACGGCCCGGATCCGGCTGACTACATCATGCATTGTGGTCGTGTCTAGGCGCAGGTCCTCCATCTGATCTGGATACGGCCCGGATCCGGCTGACTACATCATGCGTTGTGGTCGTGTCTAGGCGCAGGTCCTCCATCTGATCTGGATACGGCCCGGATCCGGCTGACTACATCATGTGTTGTGGTCGTGTCTAGGCGCAGGTCCTCCATCTGATCTGGATACGGCCCGGATCCGGCTGACTACATCATGCATTGTGGTCGTGTCTAGGCGCAGGTCCTCCATCTGATCTGGATACGGCCCGGATCCGGCTGACTATATCATGCATTGTGGTCGTGTCTAGGCGCAGGTCCTCCATCTGATCTGGATACGGCCCGGATCCGGCTGACTACATCATGCATTGTGGTCGTGTCTAGGCGCAGGTCCTCCATCTGATCTGGATACGGCCCGGATCCGGCTGACTACATCATGCATTGTGGTCGTGTCTAGGCGCAGGTCCTCCATCTGATCTGGATACGGCCCGGATCCGGCTGACTACATCATGCATTGTGGTCGTGTCTAGGCGCAGGTCCTCCATCTGATCTGGATACGGCCCGGATCCGGCTGACTATATCATGCATTGTGGTCGTGTCTAGGCGCAGGTCCTCCATCTGATCTGGATACGGCCCGGATCCGGCTGACTACATCATGCATTGTGGTCGTGTCTAGGCGCAGGTCCTCCATCTGATCTGGATACGGCCCGGATCCGGCTGACTACATCATGCATTGTGGTCGTGTCTAGGCGCAGGTCCTCCATCTGATCTGGATACGGCCCGGATCCGGCTGACTATATCATGCATTGTGGTCGTGTCTAGGCGCAGGTCCTCCATCTGATCTGGATACGGCCCGGATCCGGCTGACTACATCATGCATTGTGGTCGTGTCTAGGCGCAGGTCC